ATTTACAGAAGTAAGAGAATGGGAAAAGCCCAGAGGCAAACACCAGATGGGATAATTTAAAGTTAAGGAAAACTGGCAAGAAACAAACCAAGCTAAGGCTGGGAATTTATAATTAAGAATAAGCCTCCGTGTGTGATTTATTTGGGAGCTGGGTATTGATCACCTTAAAGAGATCAGAAAACAACATAGTTCAAAGCTAGCCTGTTCAATATACGAGAGCCTACCTCAAAGCTAAATTAGAAACTATTGTAATAGTGAGACATGTTTTTATTTTTGTACTTTTTTTTTCATCCTTTTTATTTTCTTAAACTGTGTAGCTTCAGTTTGTCTTGAGCTTTATGTAGCTCAAGCTGGCTTTGAACTTATAGTCCTTTGAAATGACAAGATTTGCTGATGAATTCGATATTGGAAGGAAAAGGATAAGCAAGGGCCATGCCCAGGTTTTGATCTAAGCATATAGGTGAATGTTGGTGACATTTACTGAGATAAAAAAGTTTGAGGAAGCTACAGGTTTGGTGGTAGAAATTATGCCTTCTACTTTGGGCATTGTAAGTTTCATGTGTTGACTATGTGGACCTGAGTTCTTTGTTGTTTGTTTTGAGACAGGGTTTCTCTATGTAGCCCTTGCTGTCCTGGAACTTGTTCTGTAGACCAGGCTGGCCTTGAACTCACAGAGATCCACCTGCCTCTGCTTTTCCATGTGCTGGGATTAAAAGCATGCACCACCACCCAGTGCTGGCTATGTGGAATTTTTAGTGGAATGCTTCTGAGTTATTCTTTCAGGGAAGTTGAGAGAGGTGGGCTTTGTTTATCCTTTTCATCTTCTCCCTTTGAATTAGATTTGCAACTCTGGACTGGGCAGTCAACTCTGGGCTTGCAATTCCAGTTTGGTGTACTCTGTGTCTCTATGGCCAGCTACTGGCTCCTACAGACCGGATGAAGCAGATTGGAGACAGAAGTGGAGAAAACCTCCAGTTGGTACATTCTCAAAGTATAGTCCTCTGGCTGCTGGCCCTGTCCAGCCTGCCTCATGGAGAAGATGAACTGGCTGAGCAGGCTGGCCTCCCGGGTCCCTGGGCACCGAGTACCTCAAGGGGCCAGTCTGCAGACTCCTGTCATGGCTGATCCTGAGACATGCCTCATGGTCTTCAAGAATCACTGGTCCCAGGTAGGAGACTCCATAACAAAATACCTAGTCTGCTACTCACCCTAGTGGTCCTAACTTTCAGAGTTCTGTGTTCTTATCACCCCATTTAGTTACCTTATCATCTTAGATTTTTCCTCTTTTCTGTCCTTTGTGTCAGGTGGTTCGAATCCTGGAGCGGCAAGGCCCACGGGCAGCTGCTGGAGGTGCAGATGATCTCAGTGCTGTGCGAAACCACACCTACCAAATGCTAACATTGCTGGCAGAGGATCGAGCTGTCCCTTCGGCCCCCTCAGGCCCTGGGCCCCTGCTGGAGTTTGCTCTGCATGAAGATCTGCTGAGCCGAGTGTTAACATGGCAGCTGCAATGGGATGAGTTTGGGGATGGGGTCGAGGAACGGCGGGCTGAGCAGCTGAAACTATTTGAGATGCTAGTGAGCGAAGCTCGCCAGCCTCTGTTGCGGCATGGGCCAGTTCGTGAGGCTCTGCTTGCCCTGCTGGATGCCTGTGGCCGCCCTGTGCCCAGTAGCCCAGCACTGGATGAAGGCCTGGTGCTACTTCTCAGCCAACTGTGTGTGTGTGTTGCTCGGGAGCCTTCATTGCTCGAGTTCTTCTTGCAGCCACCTCCTGAGCCTGGAGCTGCTCCACGTCTTCTCCTTTTTTCTCGCCTTGTTCCCTTTGTCCATCGAGAAGGCACCCTGGGTCAGCAGGCCCGTGATGCTCTACTTCTGCTCATGGCTCTCTCAGATGGGAGCCCCACTGTGGGCCGCTACATCGCTGATCACTCTTACTTCTGCCCGGTTAGCAAACCCTAGGATGGGGGGGAGGGTAGGGTGTGGCATGTGAATATTGGACAGCATCTTCCTATCCAGGAGATGTGGAAAGGCTAGGTGTCAGGGAGAGCCCTTTACTACAGATTCAAAAGCAACTCCTTGGAGTTGGAATGGGGTTGAAGCATGAGCATAACTAGATAGTTGCAGGTGAGGGCCTGGCACATGGCAACTTAATATTAATAACAGCTTTGGTAGTGTCTTTTACCTGTATTCCCATCAAATCTTATGATTAGTTAGTTCCCAAAACCCTCTTATTATATCATCTGAGTCTTTGGTACCCTTTCTTAGGTGCTGGCCACAGGGCTGAGTGCCCTGTACTCCTCACTGCCCCGAAAGATTGAGGTTCCAGGAGATGATTGGCATTGCTTGCGACGGGAAGACTGGATCGGAGTGCCAGCTCTTGCACTCTTCATGAGTTCCCTAGAGTTCTGCAATGCAGTTATTCAGGTAGGAATAGGGTTTCTAAGAGGTATGACACTTGGTACTTCTGGGAAGTTGGGGTGAACAGGTCCATTTCCTGAAGTTCTATTATAGAACTTGGGATTAGAATACCTATCTTTATTATATTACTCTGCTTCCTTCCAGGCAGTGGACTCTTCATAATTCCCTTTTTCTCTCTTGTTCCATGTAGGTAGCTCACCCCCTGGTGCAGAAGCAGCTGGTTGATTATATCCATAATGGTTTCCTGGTGCCTGTCATGGGCCCTGCCCTGCACAAGGTAAGGATTATGGGTGGTGAGGCATAGGAGAACCTGGACTGGGGTATGATTGACCAGTGAAAGAACTTATATGGGAGGCAGTGGGTAGCATTGTCCTTTTTCCTTTCTGATACTTCTTGTTCTCTAGAACCCAGGGAATATGAATCTTATGTGCAGGGAAACCCTAAGTCTCCAAACTTTGTCTCCCCTTCATCCAGACCTCTGTGGAGGAGATGATTGCTAGTACCGCCTATCTGGAACTTTTCCTACGGAGCATCTCAGAGCCTGCTTTGCTCCGTACCTTCCTGCGATTCCTGTTGTTACACCGGCATGACACCCACACCATCCTTGACACCCTTGTCGCCCGCATTGGCAGCAACTCCCGGGTATGGCTCTTAAACTCTGTCCTGGCTTACTGTACCTGGGTGAGCCATCTTTCTCTGATTTCTGTTGTCAGAGAGTGTTCCTGCTCTTTTTTGGGTTTTGACTTGCAGTCACTTTAAGGTGGCAGTTTGAAGCACTAAACTTTTGGACATTTTGAGTAAAGAATTCAATTTACTTCCTTGTTTTTATACTATGTGCATCTGCAGCATAGTTATCCATCAGAGCTGTAGACTTTGCCATGGTGCAGTGATTGTAATATATTGCTCCACAGTTCCCTTAAGCTTTTTATCATTCTCTCAGTTGCTGTGGGTGATAGAAGAGTGCTTTGGGGTTTGTGTCTATACTAATAAATGGTCCAGCTTTTCCTTGTATGCTTGCCTTCTCTCCTCTTTGAATTGGCTGCATTTGAACTGTAGTCAGGGGACACATCCACCCACCTGCCCACTTAAATTCCCTCTACCTCTACATGTGTATTGTTAGTAACATTCTGTTAGGTCACTAGGTGTTGGGAACACAATGGCAGTCATGGCTGCTGATGTCTTAGAGCTTACTTTTATCGAGAGTATAAATAGCAAATTAAGTTACTAAAATAGTTGAAAATTGAGGTTACTGTTTGTGCAAAAAAAAAAAAAAAAGTTTAGTAAAGAATGGAATAGCCGGTGAAGACATCTCAGAAGATGTTGTGTTATAACTCAAGACAATGGAGTTATAACTGTTTAATATTAAGAACAGTTTAGGCAGAGGGAACAGCATGCAAAAGGGCATGCAATAGGGAATGAGTATAACATGTTCTAGGAATGAAAGATCATTGTGACTAGAGATGGACTGAGCAAGAGAGAGAAGGCAATGAGAGCTGAGAAGATTCTCATTATGCATTCTAGAGAGGAGAGAGAAAAGGAGAAGGTGGATATGTTTCTGATATTAAACACTTAATTTTATAAAGATACACTTTTATCCTTATTTTAAAGGTAGGGCATGCCATGGTATTAGGTCTGTCTGACCTCAGTGGGTTGCCTTGACAGTTAATTTCCTTGAGATTCATTCCCATCCTTCTTGTGTTTATCTGCCATTCTTTCATCCTAATCTTAACCTTTTTGGTTTTCTTGCATTGTTTTTAGTCTCTAGCACTTACTTTTGTTAATTTCCAACTTTTTTTTTTTTAAATGAGCTTTTCATGTTCTTGGGTTGTTTCTTCTTAGTTTCTGGTTCTTGGAGGAACCAGGTCTCTTCTGATTGAAGGGTACCCATGTTAAGCTTGTAGATGCTTTCATTTCTACTTCCCACTCCTTTTAAGGTATTTGCCTTGGCTTTTGTGCCTTTAAGTGAGCCACTTTTGCTAACTTGTCTGTGAGCCTGATTATCTGTGTTAGTTTCTAATTGCTATCAAAACAAATTACCACAAACTCAGTGAGTTATCTTTTAGTTCTGGAGTACATATTTGGGCCGTTGTTCTTGCTGTCTGTTGAAGACTATTCCCAATTTGACTGCCTTCTTCCCCCTTTAGAGCCAATAATGGTGGGTCACAGCCCTGCTATATTTTGAGCCCCTTTACCAGTTTTTTTTTCTTTACAATTTTTTTTCTTATAAACAGCGCTGGGAGCCAAACCCAGGGCCTTGTATGTGCTAAGACAAGCAGTCTACCACCGAGCTACATTCCCAGGCCTTTTGTTTCTTTTTTCTTTGAGGCAGTCTCACTGTGTTATTCTAGACTGTGATGCTGTATATCATACCCAGTGCCTCATGCATACTAAATAAGTACTCCTATCCCTGAGCTACACTGTGAGCCCCATAAGGTCCATAATTTTAATCACATCGGTAAAGTCTCTTCTGGTCTGTAAAGTAAAATGTTTATAGATTCTGGCGGTCAGATCTTTGAAGGACTACTTTCCTGCTTACTCTACCATTCTTGAGTGAGTCTGAATTCTCACTGCTGGTTAAAATGGTCATTTAGGATATCCATGTTACTCCAAATGTGAACTTTTTCCTACTATTGATCCACTTAATTCTCTCACAGCCATTTAGCAAGCACTGCCAAGACTATACAAGACCAAGATGTTTGACATACTTGCCGTAAGCAAAGTATAAAATGCTGTTGGGATTCAGAGCAGTGAGGTTAAGCTTACTGCACATGTTATTTTTGTCTAGCTAGAAATGAATAAGGCTTCTTCTGTTTCTAAAACAAAAGGTTTTCCTGTTCTTGACCTACTCACTTACTTTTTCCTTTTCCTGTCAGTTGCCCTGAGCTTCTCTTTATCCCATCTCCTGAGATACACTGGGGTTGGAGACCTGATTCAAACTTCATCCTTATGACTCCACCTACTTCCCAGTTGGGATTCTTCCAGGTTCCCTCTTATTGGTAGCCATTCAATTACTGTGTGACTACAGTCCCTTCTGACAGGTGTTTACTTGGCTGTCATATTGCTATAGTTTCCTGTGAATCATTTACTTTGTTACAGTCTTTCTTAGTGTCTGTTTTCTTGGGATCTCATTGGAACATTGATGGAATCAATATGTTGACAGATAGTCCAGTTATGTATATGGTCTGTAGAATTGCAGTGGATCTGACACTTGATTATTTTCTGTGAGTAGTAAAGTCTTGTTCACAAAGATTATGTGTTTATCTAGTTAATGCATACTATACTGTTTATGTGCTAGACCTTGGTGCATAGGTTATTCTTGGAGTGGTTGGTTGGGCCTGGGGTTGGGGGAATGGGAGTTTCCATTGGTGAATAGTTTGGAGGGTAGAGAGCTCTTATGGTGACTCCCTCCCTCCCCTTCCCCCTCAGCTTTGCATGGTCTCTCTGAGTCTCTTCAGGACCCTTCTGAACCTCAGCTGTGAAGATGTTCTGCTTCAGCTGGTTCTCAGGTACCTGTGGGGGCAGGGCTGAGGGATGGCTGACCCTCAGGGCCTAGTGTTTTGTCAGGGTGATGGGCTGTATTGGGATTTCTCATGAGTGTCCTCATGAGTGTCCTCTTGGAGCCTAGTTTAGCAGTTTAGTTCACCTGGCCTGCTTTCAGGTGCTTTCTTTCCTGACCCTATATTCTCTTTCTGCTATTTCCCAGGTATCTTGTCCCATGTAACCATGTGATGCTGAGCCAGAAGCCAGCTGTGCGTGATGTGGATCTTTATGGACGAGCAGCTGACAAGTTTCTCTCCCTAATCCCTCGCTGCTGTAGGCACCATGCCCCCAGCCCACCTCGTCCAGAGCATGCCTCATGGGCACGAGGTGGGCCTAGCAGAGAGGAAGGGAGAAGGGAGGACATCACGGGTATGGCCTGGGTTCTGGGGGAGCCTAGAGAGAAAGCAAGGCTAGGGTGAGGGGAGGAAGGTGGTGACAATG